TTTTCTGAGATTGTGGATTTGGGGTTTTCATGAGCTGTAAGCCATAATCATCACAGTTATGACACATCACGGCTTGAACTATCTTGCTTTGCATGTAATGAGTCTATCTCATATATTAGGTTCACCTTTTAAGTTGCATTACTGAAATAAATGAACTTTTGCACGATATTCTAATTTTTCGAGTTTCACCTGTATATTACTAAATTCTCAAAAACGATAATGCATATCTTTAAATTAGGATTTTAAAATGTTTCTTAATCCCTTTTTTGTTTTTATGACTTTCAGCCTAGGACTAACAATAATGGACTCTATTTTCTATTTAGCTGTTTTTTATAAAAAGGTATTGATGGAAAATAATTTATTCTCTATAGAAGATAATTTAGATAGACCCTGAATTCCCAGCTTTTATTCAATCTTCCAACGGTCTCTTTCAGAATTTATACTGGGAAACTACAGATGCGGCAAAATTCTAAACTTTGCAGTCAAGTTTTAGAAGCAGCAATCAGTTCCATCTGAAAACATATATATTTAAATAGGGGAAAAGGAAACTAGGAAGTCTGACTTATTAACCACTGCAGAGGAGCCTTTTTCGGCACTTAGAGGGCTCTATGATAGTGAAAACTGACAACACATGTATTTCTGTACACTCGAAAAGCTGAAACAATCGCTTCTTCCGTCTCTTTTGACCGCAACTTGTCTATAGAATAACGAAAAAGTAGAGACGACAATCCTACTTATGTTAGAGTGCCTCCACTTCTTGTTAGGGTGGAAGTGAAAGCTGCACCTAGAGAAAGACCTTGTTTTTCTAAGACAGATTTAGTCCATGCATAGATTTTCAACTTATAATCGATTTTAAGTTGGGAAAGATACGTTACTTTTCTCTATCCATACTACCTTTAGATGAAGATCTGATTTGAGCAATAATAGTCTATGAAGTCAATTTATGCAGTTTGTTACTCATAGCGTGCATCTCGTCTCGGGATGCAAGGTAACAGCCGCTTTTCAAAATGAAAAGGCGGCTAGATCCCCTGGCAGGCATCTTAATGAGCAACTGACTCGCCCTCGGCTTGATACCTCAGCTGTGCTCCCTCTACTTTTTCGCAGACCTTTCGTGAGTGACGACATCCGGGCTGCAGCCGCCTTCACTTTGCAACGTGTGGGCGAATGAATTGCCTAAAGTTCATAACCGCTATTTTTTAAACACTGAAATATGAAGCAAAAGTAGTATTTCATACAAAATATTTGTAGGGGCTGAGATGGAGAGAATAGTATACTAAAAAAATTCAGTTCCAGGTAGCTTCAGATATGCTTAGCCAAGTTATATCTGTTTTTGGCATAATCTGCGGTTTGCAGCTATCCTTTTTGCTTACTGAATTCCGTGCAGTTTAGCAAGGAAATCGTGAACAGAAGCGTCTGCGCGAAATAATATGAGGGCGGTCTTCCCTGCAATCCCCGGCGCCTTCTTCCAACGGCCAGAAGGGGCGGGCGATGAAGTGGCCCCTCCTGATTCCAGAAATTCGCGCCCCAAGTCTCCGTTCAGACGCCCTCGCGAGTTGTGCAGGCTGCGCTTCTCGCTTTGCAAGAGCGAGAGTAATGCGATGGCGAGCGCCCACCGGCAGTCGTTGAAGCGTTTCTGGAGCCCGGATCGCATTAGCCCCGAGCGCGCCGGCAGGTGGGGGACACAAAAGGGGGCGGTGTCGCCGGCGTGAC